TCTCCAACTCTGCTGGGTGTGTCCACAAAAGTTCTCCCTGACACACATGACGTTGCTTTTCTTCATTCCCTCTCTTGCTCCCTTTACCATAGGTTTGGGATGCCGACATGGCACTGACACAGTTTCAACCATGCCAAAGTGTCTAATACCCTAAGGAGTGCCATAAGATAGATATAATTTGGGCTACTGAATGACCTACTTGGCTTAGAACTACTTCTCCAGCACAGATCGCTCACTTCCAGAAGGGTACATGAGAAATAAACTTCGTATTTAACCTATCATACTTTGCGCCTCTTTGTTTCAGTCACTTATACAAGGCAATTCTATAATCTGATATCCCCTATGACACAAGTACTATAAATGCATTCTGTCTGAAAAATTGTTAAACTGGTAATTTAAAGAAGTTTCAGTGCAAATAACACTTGAAAATCTGTGTTTTACAGTAACTATAGGTTATGAGGAAGAAATGCCATGTCAATAATACTGTTGATTCTCATTTATCAATCTAAAAGGAAAAAGAAGGCATACAAGAAATCTGGATCTGATTGCCCAAGGAATTCATAGTTTCAGTGATGTAATATTTATGTAAACTCACACTAATGACAGCCAGCTGGACCCTGTAAAATGTAGGCTGAAACACAATTTTGACCCCTAAAATTCCGTAATTATAGCATTTTCATCTTCTTGTCCTTGTTTCCCTTTGATTAAGGCACTGATAAAAATTCTAGAAGCAAGAAGGAAAAGAAGTGAAAGCCAGAAGATTCCACAAACTAAACCTTATCAAATAGATGATCTCTTAACAGGTTACATATTCAAATTTTGAATATGCAATTAAATTTAATTCAAACGGCTCTGTATCTCTCATGGTTTTCAGAAAATGTAGCTGCTTCTCCTAGAGCACATTCTCAATTAAACTTCAGTTTTTTCTTCCAAACTTCATTTGGCATATCTGTTTAGTCAAAGATTTATTCCTACTTTTTGTGGATGAGGGGCAATCACTGATAAAATACCTCTTATGCAATTAAAATATATTTCAGTTAAGCAGTTCATATTTTACAATAATGCTACACTTATTAAAATATAATCTCCCCAACAAAAATTAATCTCCTGAATATTATATGTTATAAAGTCAAGGACTTCTACTGGGAAATATTTTTACCTTAAACACGAAAGTAATAAAAGTACCAAGATACCTATTATAATTTTATAACATCTTCCCCTCCAAATCATATTTATGAATTGTTCTGATAAGTTTATTGCCATTAATCCAATAATCTACATAATTGTTTGTGATAACTTGAAAATCAAAAAAACCCAAGGGCCACCTGGGTGGCTTAGTCAGTTAAGCATCTGGCTCTTGATTCTGGCTCAGGTCACGATGTCAGTGTCATCAGATCAATCCCCGCATTGGGTTCCACACTGAGTGTCGAGCCTGCTTTGGATTTTCTCTCTCCCTTCTGCCCGATACTGCCCCTGCTGCCACTCACACTCTTAAAAAAAAACAAAAAAACACATCAGGGTAGCATGATTTAAAAGTAAAGCTTGGTCTAAAATATCTTTTTAAAGATTCTAAAATTCTAAAGGATTTGAATGCCTCATAACACAATCATTTGTAAATTTTCATATAGTTCATGGTATAAATTAGCTATATTTTTAAAGGAATCACAATTTATATATTAATTTTAAAAATATTTCCTACAGAGAGAAATATGACTTTTGACATTTTTTTAAAAAACAAGATGTATTTGTCTCCCAATTGAATAGCAATATACTGATTGCCGATTGAGCAGATTTTGAATTTTAATTCAGGAATATCTTTATCGCATTATATGAAATAAAAATAAGTTTCACATTCTCTCTCCTTCCCATTTTTTTTAGCCAGCCACTAATTTATATTCCATTAGTAAAGCAAAAGGCAACTAAACGACACATCTGAACCCAAGTAAATAGTACCCTAGTTTCAGTAGTTCCAGTGAATGCACTCAAGACAACAGTGAGTGACCACAGTGAGTCTACGACGGCTACGACAAATATAGGAAAATGGTATCATCTACTCTTAAAATTATCTAAACAAATCAATCACAATTCTCAAAATTTTAAAAATGACAAAAAGCTTTAAGAATCTCCAAACATACCAAGTTCATGGATGCTACATTTTCTACCGGAGATGAAGTCACCATCTCCCTGGGCTTCCTTTTTTTTGTCTAGATTTTTTTTTTAATTTTTATTTATTTATGATAGTCACAGAGAGAGAGAGAGAGAGGCGCAGAGACACAGGCAGAGGGAGAAGCAGGCTCCCTCTTCTGGGAGCCCGATGTGGGACTCGATCCTGGGTCTCTAGGATCGCGCCCTGGGCCAAAGGCAGGTGCCAAACCGCCGCACCACCCTGGGATCCCTGTTTGTCTAGATTTTAATCTATAAACAAAGTAGGCTGGTGTCAGCCAGTGCTTCTCCACAGGCCAGTCCCCTAGAAGGTGATTTGGAAATAGGCAGAGCACTTTGTTTTCACGGTGACCGGCACGTAGGGCAGGGCGAGGGGTGTGCCAACATCCAGGAACTGTCTCAAGTATCCCTGAACTTTCAAATGTCCCTCCATTGCTTTCATAGAACCTTCTCGGTATGACCACTAGAGCTAAAGAGCAACTCCTTTTACACATAAACAAGTTGTTTTAATTTAGTTTTAACAAACATTAATTTTCCAGGGCCTCAACTTCCATGTAAATGTGCACTTTTGTTTGGAACTTTACCAAGATTCATTCACCATCTCAGGGAAAAAAAAAAAAATCACCTCATGCATGGCAAATTCGCTCAACTTTATCGACTCCCGATACAGCACGCCTGGATCAGGATTCTTTTGCAATGACTGCACTCATGGCAATGCCACCAAGAGGTGCAAACCGCCACTTACTTTATCATGTCTTCCACTAGACATGTGTGAGCATTTGTACATTGAAATGCGTATTTTGTTATAAATTATTTCCTGTTATCACAATCAGAGCAGTGTACTGGTTATCTTTAACATAACCTACTTACATATAAAGTTATCTATACACTTCATTGTGGAATAAAGAGTAATGCAAAACATTTTATAAAAGAAACCAACCCCCCCCAAAACCCCCACTAAATTTGGAGGGATGCAAACCACTGACCTAGATTATGTAGTAAGGCTCCTTGCAACTCCAACATTTCTTGATTCTATGGAAAACTTTCATTTTGGCAAGCCCTGACCATTACCAAACCTTTAGCTCTACTCTTATATTTGAAAGCATAGCGATTAAGTTAAAAAGAGAAATAGGGACGCCTAGGTAGCTCAGCGGTTGAGCATCTGCCTTTGACCCAGGGCGTGATCCTGGGGTCCCGGGATCAAGTCCCACAATGGGCTCCCTGCAGGGAGCCTACTTCTCCCTCTGCCTGTGTCTCTGCCTCTCTCTCTCTGTGTCTCCCATGAATAAATAAATAAAATCTTTAAAAAAAAGAGAGCGAGAGAGAAATAACACGGTTGCTCAGATGATACGTAAAATCACAGACTCTGCTAAACTTTCAAACATTTGCACAAGTGGTGGGAGATGTCACAGTAGCTGATGCCTTTTTCAGGTTAATACAGAGAGACAGAAAAACACCAGAGGTAGAACTGGAGCCTCCATATCCATTTGGTCTCAAAAGTCTACACTACTGGGCTCACAGGTGACCCTGTCCCTCCTTTGGGCTGAGTGCAATTTTGTCTGTGATATACTGTCTTAGCAATTCTCCCACAAAGTTCATTTGTCAAGAAAATATACGCTGGCAAGCAATGCAAATGCTTCAAGTGTGGAATGAGGTGACCTCTCACAACCAAACCTACTGCACAAGTCTACTTGGCAAAGCTTGTCATTCAGAAAGCACCACCTTCAACTCATTATTGGCTTGCAGCTGGTATAACTCTACTCCCATTCTTCTGAGGCAATCACTCTCTGTCATCAGACTGAGGAGTAATTATCCCCACGGTACCAATTTCCAGCCTGTGAAAATTAACTGTAGCCACCCCTTCCCTACACAACTGGATTCTCAGCACACCCACCTTCTTCATTATGTCTGACCATCCACCGTTGTTATTATACCTCTTTCCCCCACTCTATTAGCTGCCATATGGGGCAAAAATTCAGCATCTATAGATGTCCATATATTAAATAACCTCCTAAGACAAAGTTTGAGGACCCCCCACCTTGGGGGGAGAGAGGGGGTGTTCAGGAAACAAGCCTGTACTTCATAGATAATAAATATAGCCATCCTGGCCAAATGACCAAGATTACATACAAAGTATTTACTATAAAAGAAAAAAAAAAACAGAAACACTTAGGTTTGGCTAATATACCAAAACAAGTACACGACTAACAACCACCAATGATAAAACTGTGCATTAAGAAAACTTAATGTTATTTTTAAAGCAATAAAAAGCTTAGATATTTAAACAATGTATAGAATACTTCACAAGCTGTGAAAATTTCAAAATTTCTAGAAGATCGGATGAAAACGTAATACAACAATGGGAAGGTATATGTAGTTTTTAAGAGATAGACATGTTAGTTTTTGACTCTTCAGAGTTTCAGAAAATAAGAAGTCATTTATAATTCACACAGGAAGGAAAAGCTCTATTATCAGCAACATCTTTTATAAATGACTCTCTTAATTTTTCCTCCCTGACCTCACAGGCACATATGATACCAAACTTCCAATTTTCTAAGAACTTATAGCCAAATAACCACATGAAACAAAACAGCTTAAGTCTCAAGTTTCTCATGCTAAACACTTTAGTCTCAATCCCCATCATTAGACTGACCATCTGACTTCAGTGTTTGGGGTTTATAAAGATTATGGGTTGGCATTTGGGGTGAGGGGTACATTTTAATCAGATGTAACATCTTAAATATACGTGGTTCAAAAATTAAGAAAAGCAGCTTTGCCATTGGCCCTGAAGAAAGAAAATGATACAGCAACGGGGCTTGGCCCCAGAAGCTTCTTACCCGCAGGGCCTCGATGACCAGGTCTCTGGCCTCCAGCTCCCCTTCCATCACGCTGAGGAGCATCCGAAGCTCTGATTTACTGAGGGTGTCCACATCAAACTCTTTTTTCTGTAACACAAATATTGAAGAAGCAATCACAAAGCTCTTCGTAAGACAATACACACATCTTCAGGTATGCAATGGATCATTTTTATCTCAGTGGCTCAGCAAATCCCAGCAGCGCAAGGGCCCTAATTCAGCAGCAGACAATCTATGCCCAGACCTTCCAGGAGGGGGTAGAAACCAGAAGGCCTAAATCCCAAATCTCTTCACTAAGGAGATCTCTATTTTCCCCAGCCTGCCTGCCCACCTGGATTCAGAATCTGTTCAAATTGGAGCAGAAATTTTAAAGTCTCTGGAGTTTCTACCAAAACAGGCCTAGCGTAAGTTCAGGAAAAGTTGCAGGGGTAGCAAAGAAAGCACGAGAATGTATTCCTAGAAGGGCCCCAACCAACATAGAGGCTCCTGGGAGGTTATTATAAATTCCAGGACATCCAATAATAACAGGTCATGTTTATAGAAGGCTCTGCAGCAGAGGTAACCAGCTGGCAGCCTTCAGCCAAATCTGGCCTACAGATGTGTGTAACTTGGGCAACAAAGTGTTTTGTTTTTTCACTCAGCCAGCATTTAAAAAAACAAAATTTTGTAAACCCTGAAGATGTCACCCAAAAATCCAGATCTCTGGTTTCTCTTCAAAATTCAGGTGACCAGTTAGCACCGGATTCACATTCCCACAGAGTAATAATCTGCAGAAGCAGGTAGGGGCAGTCCCTTTAGAAGGAGCATGCTCTTCACTTTGCTGCCCTGCCCTCCCCACCACACACACACACACACACACACACACACACACACACACGCAGGCATGTGTACTTTCAAGAGGTCTGGCCCCCCACTCGCATTCAGTCAACTGGGTCCGTGCGCAGGCAAGTCTGGAACCTGCCACGTGGTGATCAAACGCTTGCTTGGGCAATGCCTCCGTAGCTCCTTCCCGTTCCAAACGTAGGCCAAGTGGAGCAAGTGAGACTTCCAGAGACTCAATTACACCACGAGGTATTAGCACCGTGGCCCAGGGATCGCAATCCTCATCCATCACTCTTCCAGCCCTGCTGTCTCCTCTCCACTCCTGCTCTGGTAACTGCATCCAGTTTCACCTCTTCAAATCCCACAGATAGACCACGGATGCCCAAAACTCTTGTCTCCAAATGCCCCCTTCTTTCCTGACAAGCTTTACAAGCAGGTCTTTTGGCAGCCAAATTAGAGAAGATCAACTAGAGCCCTCACAGCTCAGCTTGGGGTGAATCCACAGCCCGGGCTCCCTTTACACGCACCATCCAGAGAGCCCTTCTGGGCAGAGACTCCTTGGATAAACCCACTCCCATCGGAGGGAGAGGGACACGTTCGCCCCCAAATGCCTCAGAATGCCCAACCCTCAGAAGCCATTCTTCAGGCCATTCTGGAACATCATTTCACATTTGCATGGCACCCAAGGGTTTCCAAAGTATTCTCAAAGTACCAAATCTAATATGTAAGGTGTTATCGCCCATCTTAGGTTAAGAGAGCAGCAACCCAGAGAAGTTGGATGACACAGCCACGTCGTTCAACCAGGAAACGACAAAACGACAACCAAGTGCTATGACCTGTCTGCACACTTTACAAGCACAGGGACTGCATTCTAGAGATGGAAAATGGTGCCATTCTATCAATCAGCCAATAAGAACTCGTTTAGCACCCAGATACCTGACTGTATATTATCCTCGTGATGACACGTAAGCAAACACTGGCAAGCCCATAAATGATTCCAGGGCCTTTCAAACAGGCATAACCAGAACTGGCTATTTCTCAGTTTCAAAGAAACCTTCTAGGAGGAGATAACAGCACAAAGGGGAAAGAGACCAGAGCTAGCACGTTTTCCACAGAAAGATTTTAAAAGGACCCTCCTCTTAAAATTGTTGCATTTTGCACACACATTAGAGCAGTTATTTGGAAAGGCAGGGGCTCAGGATGGAGAAAGAGAAAAGAAAAACCTACAGCCAAGCCTTAAGGATGGGTCATTTCTAGGATGCCCTTGCTCAGAAAGTTAAGAGATCTTCCCTGTTGGGGCGCCCACGTGGCTCAGCTGGTTGAGTGCGAGCTCTTGGTTTCAGTTCAGGTCATGATCTCAGGGTCATGAGACTGAGCCCAACGTTGCGCTGCACGCTCAGCGTGGAGTCTGCTTGAGGATTCTCTCCCTCTGCCCCCACCCCCCTGGAATAAATAAATAAATCTTTAAGAAAAAAAAAAGAGATTCCTGGTGAATAGCAAAATCTAATATACTAGGGCTCAAATTCTGCTCCCACTACTGAATGCTGTCACACAGGGTCTTATGACCCAATCGTTCTCAAAGGTGGGCGGGCAGAAGCAGCATGGGGAGACCTTGTTAACAGACTGGGGGAGGCGGGGGGGGGGGGGGAGGCACCTCTGGGGTTCCTGATACAGGTTTGGGGTGGAGCCTTGAATCTGCCTTTGTAAAGAGCTCCTGTTGCTGCTCCTGGTCCAGGATTACCCTGGGAGAGGCATTTCCTGGATCTTATCTGATCTGAACCTAACCTAACGTTTCACCCGCAAAGTTCTTACACATGAAGGAAGTAAGTGCTAAATAAAAGTGGTGATGTTATTTGCACGAGAGCACCCAGGTGTTTTATGTAGGGAGGAGTGAGCTATTGGCGATAAGCCTATTTCTTTGAAAATCTACCAGCCTCAGTCCAATAAAAACTCAGTTTATTGACAATGATGAAAGACAGACTCTTTTATCCTGCTTCTTCCCACTGAGATGGGAGAGTAAGCTGCAATTCTTATGTGCTTTAGAGGGTAATGTTTTATTAATGCTGCTGCTGGTTGTTCTAAAGATTTTAATTAATTGTATATTTTACTGTCCTTGTTTCCCTGAAGCTTCATAAGCAAGGCATTCTATTTTAAATACTAATAAATTATGAAAGACATTGCCAAGATTCTGATTCATATTAGAGTCAAGAGTGCTTGCTCTGGTTCCATCATCATCAACATTACATGTGACCTGCAACCAACACTTCTGTTTTTTAATATACCGCCATCAATAAAAAGGGAAATTCATTAAAATAAAAAAGTTATAAAGGTTCTTGCTAAACCACTGATTAGGTCACACAGAAAGGTAAAAAAAAAAAAAAAAATGTTTCCCATAACAGTGTATTAAGTGATGCACTATTCTATTTATTATTTATTTTCTATTTTTAAGGATTTTATTTATTTATTTATTAATAAGAGACACAGAAAGGCAGAGACACAGGCAGAAGGAGAAGCAGGCTCCATGCAGGGAGCCCGATGCAGGACTCGATCCAGGGTCTCCAGGATCACACCTTGGGCTGAAGGCAGGCGCTAAACCGCTGAGCCACCCAGGGATGCCCCAACACTATTTTAAATATAGGGTTTGCCTGCCTGCCGCTCCCTCCCCTAGGCTTCTCACCCCTGGGTCCTCACTAAAAACACTACCATTTCCTGGCCTTCAAGAATAAGATAATTATAATACTTGTTTCAAATTGTCATTCTGCAGGGCTTGATGTTTCTGTCCACTATCCTGGCAAACAGTAAGTATATGAAACCATGTTAAATGTCATTTATTTTACAAATAAATTTGAAGTACTTTAGTACTGAAAATATAAAAAAGCCCAAATGCAAAAATCCCAATAAAAAAGTATCTTTTTTTGGGGATCCCTGGGTGGCTCAGCGGTTTAGCATCTGCCTTCAGTCCAGGGCGTGATCCTAAAGTCCTGGGATCGAGTCCCACATTGGGCTCCCAGCAGGGAACCTGCTTCTCGCTCTGCCTGTGTCTCTGCCTCTCTCTCTCTCTCATGAATAAATAAGCAAAATCTTTAAAAAAAAAAAAAGTATGTTTCATATGAAGTGGTATTTATCTGACTTGACACATGTATAGTACAGAGGTACTCAGGTATAGAAACATTATTAATGTTTTTCCTCTGAGAACAAAATAATGGTTCTAAATTTCTTAATTTTTAAACCATATTGAGGTATGACAGACATACAAAATACCGTACAGATTTAATATATACAACTTGATGCATTTGCAGATATAGGAAACCATCACCAGAATCCATGCCATGAATAAATCCATCACTTCCAAGTTTCCTCCTACCCGTTTTTTTTTGGGGGGGGGCATAAATCTTAGATTTTAAATGGCAAACTAACTTGATAACCTAATTTTCAAAAAAAAGAAGATAGGATAGATGCAAACGCCACCACTCCCATAACACATTAGGATCTCCGACAGGACATCCATGAAAACGTGACACGTCCACACCCCCAACAATGACAACAATATCACAGCAGACATGTTCACGCCCTAAGCTTTATTATTACTGTCCTTGTTTTCCTAAATAAAGAAAAATCCAGATCTCATTTTTAAGTGACAGCAAGGCAGTCAAAAAAAGAAAGGGGGAGGGAGCTACATTTCAACTCCACAAGCCACACCCCTGCCTGTCATGTTTGATGTTTGCCAGGAAAAGTACTCCAGGAAAAGTGCTTAACACCTAGTTTTAAAAATCTGACACAGGCAGCTTAACCTAATCCAGAGTCTGGTCATCAAATGGAGAGAGAGAGCTCGAGCCTTCTTTGGGATATAAACGCATATACAAAGGAGGAGGCACAACCCCAAACTCTTAGTGTTCAACACAGCAGTCTTCAACAAGCTCTAAATTACTTGGGGGTGGGGGTGGGGGTGGGGGTGGGGGTGGGGAGGGTATTCTTTCAGATTTTCCTATACAGGCTCAGAGAGAGAGGGAGGGAGAAGACAAAATAGAACCTGGCTGAGTTAAGTCTTCAACTGCCAGAACTAAACGTACGTAGGCCAATACCAATTCCCTCCACCACCACTCCACACCCTCACCTGGGGCGGGGGGGGGGGGGGATCTAAAAATATTGGGGTTTATGTAGGGAATTTCAACAGTCACAGCCAAACAGGGCCAGAAGATCCTCACCATATCCTTTAAGAATTTAAGGAGTCAGAGCACTGATGGCTGCCAGAAAGCATTTAAGAGGGC